TTATAGAAAATTAAAACATACAGGCCAGGCGCGGTGGCTCATGCCTGTAATCCCAGCATTTTGGGAGGCTGAGGCAGGTGGACCACCTGAGGTCAGGAGCTTGAGATCAGCCTGGCCAACATGGTGAAACCCCATCACTACTAAAAATGAAATAATTAGACAGGCATAGTGGTGGGCACCAATAATCTCAGCTACTCAGGAGGCTGAGGCAGTAGAATCACTTGAATCTGTGAGGCGGAGGTTGCAGTTAGCTGCGATCATGCCATTGCACTCCAGCCTGGGAGACAAGGCAGAAAAACTCTGTCTCAATAATTAAAAAAAAAAAAAAAATTAGAAAGTACAGATAAGAAAAAAGGGGAAAGTAGAAAGCACTCATAACTCAGACATGCAAAGATGTTAAATATTAACATTTGAGTATATTTTCCCCTAGAATGTTTTCCCAACAAAATTTCCTTGAGAATTTTTTGTTATATCTACATGAGTATATGTGTATATATGTATCAATGTGTCTGTGTGTGTGTGTATATATATAAAACAGTTATTTTTAAACAGGCTTTTATATATACGTATATATTTCTTCAACTGTTTCAGTCAATAAAGCATTATGAATATTTGCCTGTAATGTTACATATTTCTCTGCAAAAACTATATCATATTTCCTTATAGTGTGTTCAGTTATTTTAACATGCAACTTTAGATGGTTTTTATTTTTTCTTTTTTTTTTTTGAGACGGAGTTTCACTCTTGTTACCCGGGCTGGAGTGCAATGGCGCGATCTCGGCTCACCGCAACCTCCGCCTCCTGGGTTCAGGCAATTCTCCTGGCTTAACCTCCTGAGTAACTGGGATTACAGGCATGCGCCACAATGCCCAGCTAATTTTTTGTATTTTTAGTAGAGACGGGGTTTCACCATGTTGACCAGGATGGTCTTGATCTCTTGACCTCGTGATCCACCCACCTCAGCCTCCCAAAGTGCTGGGATTACAGGCTTGAGCCACCGCGCCCGGCTTTATTTTTTCTCTTATTAACTGACATGGTGACTCTAAAGCTAAACACGTTCATATTTACACAGTAATTTCATTATGATGAAATCCAATAAGTGACATAGTAATTTTCAGTAACAAAAGAAAAACTGAGGTAAATCATGAAAAGCACAGAGTATAGTAAGGCAGTCATCAATAAATGTTAAGAAAAGGGCATATAAGAAAAGAAGGAGTTGTTTGAAATAGACTTGCTTTAAAACCCTAAATATAAGCTTTTATTTAAGAGTATTTAGGAGTTCTTGTTTGTTTTGTAATCGTATCATGCATGTCATCATATGCATGTAAACATATCAATGTCTTCTGACCTCAGTGGGGAAAAATGTAGCATGCAGTCAGATGAAGCAGCTCAGTCAGTTTACAGAAGTCAGGTTTAGTGTTTGTTTCTGTGAGAAGGTTTTCCTCTCCAGCTATCAGAAATGATGACTAATAATCCAAAAGAAGAGCTAATCCATCTGTCTATTTTGGGAGGGTTGGAGGTGCCTTTGGATATTTGCACTGTCGTCTTTCACGTTGTTGCAGGTTTCACCTGCTGCGGGTGAGACACGTGCCATGTCCCCCAGCCTGTTGCCTCTCAAACTGGGTTTGATTGCCCAGTTGGATTCTCTTGGCAGAGCTATGTCCATGAGTGCCAGAATAGAAATATACAGATGGCACACTATCCATGGAGGAACAATTTTGACCTGCAGGAACTGTTCTGATCCACAGGCTGAAGCACATTTATGAAGACAGGATGGGCAAAAGTACCCATTTTCCACTTAGTCATTCAACCCCTTGTGGCAGTCATACTGAACATGTTGGGGTATACAGCACAATGGCAATGCCAGACAGAAGAAGCTGCAGGAGGCTAAAATTACATAGATAACATAGTAAAGGAGGTTGGGTGGAGACTGTGCAAACTAGAGACCGTATGGTGTCTTCAGGGAGGGGCAGCTGCTGCTCACCTCAGTGGACGCTGGCAATGTAAGGGCAGACCCAGCATGGCTATTCCTGTTTTCATGAGAAACTAGAAACGTGCATTTTTCATTCATATATTTTGTCTTTCATATGTTATTAGAAAATAGAGAAAACATAAGAAATAACAAAGCTTATTTGTAATGTGTGTATATACACACCACACATACACACACACATACACACACACACACATATTCCTGGGAGGAAAAAAACGGTGGAGAGACAAAAATAGAAATTTGACTTCTTTGAGCATTTGTTATTTTGTAGATTTGACTTTGGTGTCACATACATAGCTTACAAATCTATAAAACAAAATTGTACTTTAAAAAGCAGGCATGAAAAAATGAAGGGAAAAAATGAAACAATTGAACCTCACTGAGTATCATGGTAACAGCATAACTCCACAGAAAGGAGTTATTTCAAGTGACTTTGAAATTTCACAGTTTGACTGTATTTTCCTAGTAGAATATACTTGATAGATTTAAAAAATGAACACATTTTAAATTGTTTTTTATTAACCATAATGTTAGTGCAGTAGTGGCACTGGTGTTCTGAAACTATTTTGTGTGTGTTGTGAGTTAAATGAATAATCATGTTTGTATTATTCAGAAAAGGGATTTTTGGTATAAAAGAAAGGTAGTGACATTATAAAATCCATGAGATGAGATGGAAATCTTCAAGTCCTGAATTTGAATTAAAGTTTCATGTTAAATTATATTATTTTTACTAAACACATACACACACACACACACACACACACACACACACACACAATTTTCCAGTTCTGACCACAGAAACAAAAGCTCACCTAGTAACAATCAGTATCCATAGCTCCCAGTTGTGGTTTCTAAATACCACTTTGCACTGAAATGAGCCAGGGCTTCTTACTAAAAATGGCTGATTGCAGTCCTAGGGCAGGACTGTAGGATCACCCTATAACATCTCATACAGAAGCCAGAGGGCCATCAAAGACCACCAGGCTATATTGAAAGGATGCAGGAGTCAACTTGAAAAAACTTGCCTGAAGTAGGGAAATTCGGAAATTACAGGGACAATAATTGGGCTAGAATAAAACAAATCAAAATGTTTATAGTCATTGTTAAAAGGTAAAAACCTCATTGGTTTGGAAGATACTAGATGGAAGAGGTTAGGTGACCAATTCAGTGTTTTGAAGATCAACAATAAAGGAGGGAAAATCCAGCTCTGTCAATTCCTCTATAAACTATAATTTAGAGTTAACAAATAGTTGATGAGATAAAATTTCTCTGGTTGGAATTCTCAGCTAGTAAATTAAGAAGAAATTAATATAATTAGGATATAACCAGTTGGTAACCTCTGGTGAAATCATGGATCCTCTAGGCAAAAGGTACACATGGATAACCTCATGGCAAAAAATGTTATGTGCCTACTGATAGAAGAGTATCCCATGAAGTAAGTAAAAAAAAATGCCCCCCACTCCACCTCAAAGATGTTCATGTATAATCTCAGAACCCATGAATATACAACATTACATGGAAAAAGGGAACTGAGATTGCAGATAGAATTACAATTACTGATCAGGTGATCTTAAAATGGGGAGATTATCCTGGATTATCCAGATATGCCCAATGAAATCACAAGGGTCCTTGAAAATGGAAAAAGGATGCAGAAGATTTAGCGTCAGAGTGATTTTATGTGAGAAAAACTCAGTCAGCCACTGCTGACTTTGAAGATGGAAGTGTGGCCATGAGCCCAGGAGCCAAAAAGAGGAAGGAAATGGATTCTCCCTTTAGAGCCTCCAGAAGGGGACATAGCCTTTCTGACACCTTCATTTTAGCCCATTGTGTCCTCGTCAGACTTCTAACACACAGAAATGTAAGATAATAAGTTGGTGATGTTTTAAACCATTTAGTTAGTTGTGTTATTTGTTACTGTAACAATAGAAAACTAATATACCCCATTTCCTAGGATATATTCTTTCTAGAAAATTACACCTGAATCTGATCAAGCCTCTCGATGTAACTATTTAGGGGAAACATAACGAACAGAGGAACACATCATGTGATATTATGGAAATGTTCAGCAAAACGTAAACTCTGGGAAATTCTATCTTTAAAATGACATTTATCAAATAAAGTATATGTGTGTATATTTATGTATGTGTGGCTGTATGAGAGAAAAACTGACTGACTGGACATTTTAGGAAATGACCTATTACTTTATGTAGCAAACAATTGCTGTAACGAACTTAATTCAAATCAGCAAATTATAGAAAGATAAAGCATATTAGTGAAATTTGAACACTGACACTGGGTGTTTGATATTAAGGAATGATTGTTACTTCTGGAGTATGTGTGTGATAATGGGATTGTGATTACATTTAGACAAAGAAGAGGAGTGTAGGTTGCTGTAATGGATAACAGTAGCCATAAATGGATAATTGTTGAAGATGAGTGAGGTACATATGTGTTTGCTATCTGTTCTTTCTACTTTTGGATATACTATTTCCATTACAAAATATTAGCAACTAAATTGACTTTGTTTTTTTTTTTTTTTCAATATTAGCAACAAACTTGACTCTTTAAATGTTTTGTGACTCAAATACACGTGTCCAAAGTCTGGATTTAATCAACAGACTGCCAGCTTGAACTCTCTGTAGAGTTTTGGGAATAGAATCTTTCACTTTTCCTGGAGAATTATCCTTTTCCCTCCTCCTACTTACCTTCTTCCTCCATTCTTTCTGTGCTGCCTAGCAAAAACGACCTCCCCCATCTGTGTATGTGAATGACTAGGAGGCATTACAAATTGCTTGGAATATAATTTTCTTAGAATGAGTAAAAGAGGTAATACGCATAACTGCACTGAAAATACCTCCTAGTATTTTACATGTTCTTTGGATGCCCACCCTCATTCCACACCTTCAAAAAAAAAAAAGAAGGCAGTAACTTTCCATTTTTGACAGCCTGAGGTATTTTGAAATTTTGACTGATCATATCTTCCTTGTGATCTCTGTGTTCTATTTCAGGATGGAATGGGAAACTTGAGGATCACAGAAAAAGGTCTAAAGCTAGAAGGAGACTCCGAATTCTTACAACCTCTCTACGCCAAAGAAATCCAGTCCCGACCAGTAAGTTTCTGCTGAAAGAAGGCATTATTGTTGCTCTAGAATCTAAATCTGGAGGAATTGATCTTGCTATCAGCTGAGTACAGAGGATTGGGGTGGGGAGTAATACTGGTAATAAGATGAACTCACTTTCACTTCTGAATCTTCAAGTATCATCACAGCATTGGTGCTGTCGGCAAGTGCAATGACCTCTCTGAGCCTCTTTTCATTCCTGCTGAATAGAAGGTAACAACCCCTGCTACCCAACTTTATAGATTGTACTGCAAATAAGGCAAGACAGTAAATGTGGAGAAGCCATAAATACTGTAAGAATGCAAGATAATATTGCTCTTTATTTTATTCATCAAGTGCTTTAAAGCCATTTTTAGAAACATAGAACTAAAGAACTAGAATTTCGATTTTCATTAAGACTTTACACTATGTAGACAGTGTTGGTTAGAATCAGTTCAATATCAAGCTGAGTGTGGTGGCTCACTCCTGTAATCCCAGCATTTTGGGAGGCCAAGGTGGACAGATCACCTGAGGTAGGAGTTTGAGACCAGCCTGGACAACATAGTGAAATCCCATCTCTACTAAAAATATAAAAAATTGCCAAGTGTAGTGCTGGACACCTGTAGTTTCAGCTACGGGGGAGGCTGAGGCAGGGGAATTACTTGAACCCAGGGGATGGAGGCTGCAGTTAGCCGAGATCATGCCACTGCACTCCAGCCTGGGTGACAGTGAGACTCCATCTCAAAAAAAAAAAAAAAGGAGAGAGAGAGAAAGAATTCAATATCAGTAGCTACATTCTGAAATGGTATTTAAATCATCAAGACAGAATATATACCCTGCTGTAGGCACATTGCTGCTTTGCATGCAGTATCATTATCTAATTTAGGTTCACAGATTTATCCACTGGGGTGGGGACTATTGTTGCCTCTATTTTATAGATTAAAGAATTGAGGCTTGGAGACGTTTCATGTCAAAAGCTTCATACTTGTAGCAGGACAAAGATTTCAAGCCTTCACTGTTAACTGTTATTTCCTTCCTAAGCTTTTCTTTCATTCCTTCTTTACCTTTTTATTGCTGTAGCAGTGATTCCTACATATCTTGCCTTTGTTAACCACTGTTATCCAAATTTTGTGGGGTATTTTTTAGTGGTTTTGATTTTTGATTGGTTGGTTTCATTTGCTTAGTTTTTGTTTTTGGTTTTTAGTGGGGTGGTAGAATTTGTTGGTTGAAAAGGATTATTAATGCATTTGCTCTGCCTCGGATTGATCCCCCTTCACCTGTCAGCAAGGCATAATGTGAAAGTTCCCCCAAAGCATTACTTGCATTATGTGCATTGATTAGCAGAATTATTGAAATTCAGCAACTTGGTGCAGTGGTTAATTTTATCTGAATGTTATCCAAAGTCTTGAATTGTATTGAACTGGAGCCACTACTAAATTGCAATTAAGTTTATTTTCTTGCGTGCTTAGTAAAAGAGAGAGAGCCAGGATGTTAAAAGCATCAAAGATAGCAAATGAATTTAGCCATACAATGATTATTTATAAAATGTAACTGGAACCTATAGCACATTGGCTTGGGTACTTAAAGTATGCAGAGAATTATGAACATATTTCCTGTCATTGAGAAACCTATACCCTAGAAGGAGTAATAAGATGACCCTGTAATGTGGAGAGTCAGATGATAATTCTGCCTTGGAATGAACAGAGACAGTTTTAAGTATTTTAAAAATACCTGTTATATGCATTGCTCTTAATTTGTGTCTTGTTTTCCCAACCTGGCAATTTGGTTAGTTGTCATAGAGCTCTCTCTAGTTGAACTTTAGATGAATAGTCTTACCTGTATTACACTTGTTTAACTCACTAGTTCAGTTTTGTCATTTCCTTCTATGAATGTTGAGATACCTTTTCTGTAAAGGGCCAGAAAGTAAATATTTTAGTTTTATCTTAAAGTTTGTTTTTTTGTTTTCTTTTTTACAGCTCTTATAAACAGCATTCTTGGTGAGGCCACAGGCTGTCATTCACCAGCCCTTCTAATCTTTATTAGGAATAATTCCATAAATTATATAAACGCTCTTATTAGATTGGATGTGGTCAAAGGAGTAGATTTGAAGAACATAAGGAAAATAGTTGATATGTGTTGAGTAAAACACCCTGAAATAAGATTCCTTGGCATAGAATTAGTCATGTCAATATATTGAGAACTGTGTTTTAAAAGACTTGAAAACAGGGTACTGGGTGCATCTGTTGAGTCTATATGCAGGAATTGGACGTCTAGCAAATGTGTTAGCCAGCCTAGCTGGAAATTGACAGACAGCTGATCCCCACTGAGAGACACACCTGCTTATAAGCTTAAAAAGTAATGATTACTTACTTGTATATTTACTTACTTTAATATTAAAATATATGAGTTATATGCAATGCTTTCAAATCACTGCTTAAAGAAAATAAGCCCTCAAATTCAGTTTTCCATTGTTTTTAATAACTTTTTTAAAAAATAAATATTACAGTTTTATAGCCTAATATGTTTCTAATAACAAAATAAATATCTTCTAACTGAAGGAAAAAAGATACACAGATATGCATACATAACAAAATACCTAAGTCATGGGAGCTGTACCTGAAACTTGTGCCCAAATTCATTCACTCTTCTGCATCGCACTCGCACACCACACCCTAGGTCAAGCCACCATCCGTTCTCACCTACACTACTGCAATCGTCTCTTCACTGTCTGTTGCCTTATGCGTTTGTAACTCATTATCCAAATCATAGCTAAAGTAGTCTTCAAAATGTCAAGTCGGTCTACCTCTTTGCAAAGGATTTCCCATTGATTTCCTATTGCATCTGAAATAAAATCCGAAGTCCTCTAAGGCCTATAAAATACAGAAAATAGATATTTTCACTGAGGGCTCCTTCTGGTCATCTTTGTATCAGCTCAGATGTCACCTATTTAGAAAGACCTCTTTCAATCAATCAGTCTTTAGCACAATAGCCGTATGTAAACAGCACGTTGGTTTTTATTCCTTATAACTGTCATTCTTTCACATTTTTATTTGTTTATATGTTTAGAAGATCAGGTGATTGTCTGGATTTTCCCCACTGTATTCCTCAGACCTCTTGCTGTGCCTAGCACATAGTATGTGCTCAGTAGATGTTTGAGAAACTGAGCCAGTGAATCACTGAAAATGAATATGTCTCTTAAATCTATTCTGCAGAGGCAAGCACTGTTAACAATTTACTGTTTTATCAAACATTTTCCATGGATATGTATTTTTTAACAAAACCATACTTTGCATGCTGTTCTGTACTGAGGCACTGATGGTCTCCTGATTATAACACCATGTGTAATTTTACTGTATTTTCTCCATGTTTAGATAGACAGATACTTCCCACTGTGTTCCAATTGCCTACAGTATTCAGTGAAGGAACATGCCATACAGGTTTGTAGCCTAGAAGGGAATAGGCTATACCATATAGCCTAGGTGTGTAGTAGGGTATACCATCTAGGTTTGTATATGGACACTCTATGATGTTCACACAATGATAAAATCACCGAAAGACATATTTCTTGTAATATATACTCATCAAGTAAAGCGTGACTGTATTATTTTTTTATATCTTACATAAAAAATTTTAACACCTTTCTTGAAGTATACTTCTGATAAGTTACAATCTGATAAGTTATAAAATATGTCTATGCACGTGAAACCGCCAGAATCAAGATAACAAATGTATCCATCACCCTTGAGAATTTCTCCTTGCCCCATTTTAATCCCCGCGTCCTGCTGCATCCATCCTACTTTGCCACCCGTGTTCATTTCCTAGAACTTTATATAAATGGCATTATATAGTAAGAGTATCTAAATAATTTTAACAATAAATTGTCAGTTTTTAGAGATCTTTTTAAAAAACATCTATTTAATGTCTAACTTAAAGAAGAATATGATTTTTTTTTTTTTTTTTTTTTGCCAGCAGTGGGGCTATGTCTTGATTTTCTGAGGAGGGCTATTAGAAGTAGTTCAGGCCATAAACCTTTGATATTTCCCTTCTGGATAACATCAAAGCACAGAGAACGGAATAGAGAATAACATATTAGGTGTGGCATTGAAGGAAGAATTAGTCTTTCTTTCATATGCCACAAAAACTGAAATCAAGTGTGTTGGCCTGAAAAGGTAAAGATTGCTAAGATGGTGATTCAGTCTTTAGGGCTTGCCTCTCCTTAAGCACCGGGGTCACTGCCAGCTGAAAAAAAAACTGAGGTTCTGGTATTAAAAAAAGGTGGGAGGAATTAGTGGTTGGCGGGCAGGATCTGCCCTGTTTACCTAGTCATAACCTCACATGATGCTCACATGAACCTCACATGTGGTTTTCGGCACCTTTCCATTCACCACTTTGTTATCTTCAGCTTACTAGTTGTTTTCTGATGTATTTGACTCTGTAGACTACCTCTGGGGGACTGTCGTTTGCAGAATCATCTGCAGTATCATTTCTATGTAGATCACAGCTGCCTCCATTTTATGGGGTATCCCCTTCTGCTTTTCCTGCTGAAAAGAGATCAGTGTCCAGTTGAACAAGATTAGTCAACTACTCGAAGTGTGGACAACTAATGAAACAACACTTGACTTCATTGTGGTTCTGTGTTTCACTGATCTGAGAGGAATTGAGATTAGTTAAGCAATCCACACTATGTTCAATACTGTATCTGATTTCATTACTGAAGGTTGTAACCCTAGTAAAGTAACTACAAATTGATTAGTGTGATAGCAATCACTTAGGAAGACAAATTAATGAGAAATGTTCATCTTTATAAAGATTTCCATCTGGGAGTTGAATGAAAGCCCCAGGACATTCTAGCTTTCAGCCACATGATGTACACCTTCTAAGTAGTAAAGTATTATGCCATCCAGAAAATAGATTTAGAAGGATACATGCTAAATGAAGTATTCAACCATGACATCCAAACATAGTGTGTCTTAGAAATACCACTTGAATGCATTAACACAGAAATTTGTAAA